GCGGGATATATAAACTTTTAGGTTGAGGTGTAGATTTGTGCAGTAGTTTCAGGCTGCCGCGCTCGCCGCAATAAGTTATAATGTAACGTTGCAAGCCTCATTTTGGCGCCCCTTTACCTTGGCGCCCGGGGACATATGTACCCCCCTGCCCCCCCACCCCCCCCCCCCCCCCCCCCAGCTACGCCTCTGCACGAGGGCGTCCCTCGAGGAACGCGTCCCAGGCGCGACTCTGTGCGTGAAGAGCCCCTCCCCTCCCGTGCGCTTCGATTAATTCGTAATTGGACGACGCGGGGCGCAGGAATGAGTAAAGAGAGACAGACATGGCCGAGCGTTCGTCGTCTGACCCTACGCACGGCCACGTGGCCGCCGGAACAAAATAAACAAAAAAACAAAACTTTTTTTAAACTAAAATTTATTTTGCGGACGGACTCGGTCTACACGAACTACATCAAGTTTTGAAAAAGAAATAAAAGACAAAAGTAGAAAGATGCATTGTTGTTGCAAACCGCCGTTCCTGCAAATGACTCGTTTGTGACGTCGCAAACGTCACGTACGCGTTCATACGTTAGTGACGTCACAATGGAGTCACGTGTCAGGCACGCACGCGCGGCACCATCCGAGTGCCCCACTGCCGAGGAGCGAAGCAGGCATTGAACTTGGCAGCAGGAGAGAGATTCGCCAGGATGATGGAGAGAGAGAGAGAGAATGCCACGCGTGTGAAATTTTATGATTAAATCCTTTATATTAAGTTCGCCTGCTTGCTTAGGACCGTGCAAATCTTTCGGTCGTTTTTTAACCCACTTCCCGTGATCCAATCGAGCTGACATTTTCCACACAGACTCGTTGTGCGTGACAATTAATGTTCGTGAAATTTTTTTTCCAAAATTTTACACTTTTTAGGACAAAAATATTATATTTAATTACCAATTGCTCAATGGTGCAATGCAATCATCTGACCCATAGGTGGCAGCCATCTCAAGCCAGAGGACGAGAGGACTCTAGCCGCCACGCATATAAAGGATTTATAGTGAAAAACTTTGTTTTTACGGGTTATACTTATTAATCGGCCAAAACGCACCAAAAATGATTCAACGTTCACGCGGCTGGCGAAGTTTTTCAATTGGAAATGTTTAGAATGTGGTACAAAGGACACGCGCACTCCTCCCTGCCGGCACTTTGAATCGTGAACTTCATTCGCCGATGCTGCCTTCTGAAGCTTCCTCCTCCCATGTTGAGAAGAAGTCGGTCCACCACTCGCACACCAACTCACCCACTAGTCACCCTGCAGGTCACAACCCATACCCATCAATCACTCGCTCGCTCACCCACTCACCACACTGCAGGTCACAACCCATACCCCTCAATCACTCACTCGCTCACCTCACCCACTCACCCACTCACCACACTGCAGGTCACAACAACCCACTCCCCTCAAATCACTCCCTCGCTCACCCACCTCACCCACTCACCACACTGCAGACCGCCTCACTTCTCTCTCCGCACCGCTCCATTCTGGAATCCCCCATCGCATCACAATCGTCTCTTCCCCCCCCCCCCACCAATCCAAGCTCTTACAACAAACTCGGTTAATTCAAGACTCACGTTACACCCCTTATCCAAGTCAACCTCGACGGTGCTGTTTGTGTTCGGCCGTTTGACGTTTCGGGCCCGTGGCCTGCGACTGTGTTCCAACAACACATTCGTTAACATTGGTGGATGCTTTTTGTTCCCTTTGGGAAACTCAAATGCCGTCCGCGTGATTTCAGCAGCAATATGGGCCTCAAGGTTCATGGCGACCGATCCCTTGCGATCCGGACGTCCCAGGCAACGTCTCCTGCAGTCGCCGTGCAAGGAACAGCTTGGGGGGGGAGGGGGAGACCCATTGGAACGATGCACGACTGTCAAGAGTTACGTTTTCAGAAGTCAACTTTCTCGACGCGGCTCCCCGCTTCGAGCAAACAACGAGCAGCCGGGCCCTCAAAGCAGCGGTGGACATTCCACATTCTCATGACAGGGGCCATTCGCTCTACGGGACGACCACTGCCACACGCGGCCGACCCAAAGTATTTACCGGCCAGTGGCCAAAGTGTCCCCAATGCGGTCGGACACGCGGCAAGCGGCTATTTGAGGACCACGCCGAAAACAGCCTCGGAAACTTCTCCGGCTCAGCGAAGCGATCGGAGCCATCGCCGTGACGGCGTCGTGCTCACTGCGCGCGCTGCGTGTGCGGTGCCGCCGACACGCGATCTCTGTCGCGTGGGCCCCGAGCACGACGAGCCGACACTCTGGATTCCGCACCGCACTGCGGGTCCCATCCGTAGCTCGTGTGGGTACAATGGACAATGAAAATTTGCGAGCACCGCCCTCGCTGCCCGTAATCAGGCACGCACTTTACCGGGGCACTCACTGCGGGGTTCCCAAGTTCGCTCAAGTCCGCAAGAAGGACTTTATACCCGAGCCAACGCCCGCGGCGGGGGGGGGGGGGGGCGACCGCGAGAGATATCCTGGGACAGATTGCCGGCGAGCCCACCGTCGTAACGCCGCCACCGCCCCCCCCCCCCGCACGCGACTCCTAAACCGCAGCGTGGCTCCGTCGTCGTGATTTCTCAAAACACGCTCTGCTCCTGAAGCAGAAGGGCCATTGCCCGAAACGTCTGCCCGTTAACCGTATCGCCTGGACTAAGAACGCGTACCAGTTTTCCCTCCGGTGTTCTCAATCCAGGGGGGGGGGGGGGGCAGTCTCGTAATCGAGTCGGCGATTCAGATCCCCGTTGGGTAGGGATTGGACTCAGCCTATCATCATCATCCCTCCATTCGGGGCCGGCTAAAATATCTACCACTTTGTGGGGAAATCAAGAGCGGCCGTCCCACGAACGGCTCGCGCCCCACTGGCTCGTCAGTGAACGGGAGGTGAGCACCAACGCCTCAATGCTGCTCGCTACGTGATAAGTAAATCGATTACTGTTTAAACGTGTGCAACCAGATTTGTCTAATTCTACGCGTAGTAGGCACAACCATGAACTTGACTGCACCTTTTCCATCATTATCGTATTATCCGGATTGAAATTAAAAAAATTCCCAGCGTACGCTGTATTTTGTGACATTTTGCCTTACAAATTTTTTTTCTGTAATGACCCCCCAAGTTTGAGGTGGGGTCTCACTCTTAAGCCGCGTCTTACAATGCGGAGAATACGGTAACTGTACAGGATGTCCCATAAGTCTGGAATCATAGGGAAAAATAACTCGTTCATGTTTCTGTAGGCCCAAGACGTCTCCGAGTAAGGAAAAAAAGACTCCATATAATTCTACCTATCGTAACATCGGAGACAGAGGGAGGAGGTCGCTGTTGAATTGAACACACTGCGTCCAAACATCGAGCCAATTAAACGGAGAGCTCCGTTAGCAAACTTGTTGCTAAATTTAGCGAAACGGGATCCACACAAGATAACCCATGCCGTGAGACCTTCGAGATCCAGCGACGATGACGACACAAGCGCCGATCTCACGTCGCTGAATTTTTATCTCGGGGGGGGGGGGGGGGCAGAGGTCGCAAACGGGTTTTACCCGTACCCGGCCGTACCCGTACCCTACCCGTGCCCGGCCGGGTATGAGTATCGGGTACCCGATTGCGACCTCTGGGATGAAGCCATGTTGCAGGCGCGGGTGGGTTGATTCTAGGAACTTGAATTGTGAGAAGAGACAAGACGTTGGGAAATGAGTGACAGTTACTCACCAGTGACTCACGGCCTACCCGTACCCGTACCCAGCCGCACCAGGGTCGCAAACGGTACTCGTACCTGGCCGGGTACGGGTAGCCGGGTATCGGGTAGGGTACGGGTATCGGGTACCCGGTTGCGACCTCTGGGGGGGGGGGTCACTTGAAGGCGCTGGGTCAACGCGGAGAAAACTCATGAGTGCTGAACATTTGCCGCAGCGCATTATTGACCATCCACCGCGCCCTTGCCGACTGGGCATCTCGTCTGGAGTTGTGCATCAGGTACAACGGTGGACACATTGAGCACGTTCTGTGAATAAAAGCAATATTATTGCCTTTTTGTATTATTTTCCCTACGGTTCCATACTTATGGCACACCCTGTATATAGACACGTGTCCGTTGGGAGGCGGTGACGCATTGGTGTCAAAACCCAAGCTGGAAAAAAAAAATCCACATTCTACACTGAAAGTAAAAAAAGAAATGGCAGTAAATTACGTCGTCATAATACAGAACTGGGGCGAGCATTGTGTGTAGCAGTAATACAAAAAACGACACGGCTAATGACATCAAAGCCTGGTCCCCAGCATCCATATTGCCGTCAAACATCAACATCGCCCCGTCTGAGCGAGCAGTTGCGCACAATCAGGGTGCGGTTGTGGGTGTGACTACAGCCAGCAGAGCCCCGACCCCCGCGACCCGTCAGCTTCACCCCTAACCCCACCCACATCAACGACCAATCACACGCTTGTGAAAGTGTCACGCGGTGCATCATGGGAGCTCCTTGTCACGTGCGCACTGCTGGTCGAAATCGCCAGCGAGCATATCGGAGTCTCTCGCCTCAACTGCTCGCAATCTGCAACCGGTTGCAGAGAGCAGTTGCAGATACATCGGCACGCGATAATTATTTGACATGGGCGTGGTGCCGAAAGTGATGCAGCCCGTTGAAATATGCAAATCAAACATTTTCAAAACGCCTACCCCCCCCGCACCTCCCACTGCATTGTATGTGCATTGCCTACGTCACGGTCTAAACAGCGGCACCATCTAACTGCTAAGTTCCCTTTCTCCTCGCGCACCATTTACTTATCCGTTTAGACCTTTGTAAATATCCCTCTGGTCTCTTTCGATAGATAGCCCCCCCCCCCCCGCCCTTCTGGGGTTGAACCCAACGGTGTAGGCGCGCGACCGAGGCAAGAGAGCCCCCCCCCCCCCCCGCACGCTCTCAAAAGCAAGGGGACAATGATGTGCAGCACCCAGAATTGGGGGATAGTTTTAGAGGCTTTAGGGGGAGGGGGGGTGGGTTCAGCAGACTCCTTGCAAGAAGTTTGCAGGTTGCGAATCCGGCAGGCCGACCTGGTTATGGCGAGAGAGCTGGCTAGCTTGCCGGCTCGTGAGCCGGCTACCCGGCGGGCTGCGGTTGGCCTCGCGTTGGCAGCGCGGGCGCATTAACCGTCAGGTACCCGGCGCCGCCCGCTTCACGGTGGTGGATCCACGCGAGGTGACGGCATTTGCCAAGGTCGGAACGCGGCACGGAAAACTGCTCGATGGGGGGGTGAGGATGCAGCAGAAGCGGCAGCATCATCATTACGCCACCTCCCCCCCCCCCCCCCCCCAGCTGTGAGAAAGGACTGCAGGACGTTGCGCAACACAGCAGCAAGTTCCTCCACGCAACGATGATCGCCTGGCGCCATGAAAATAACGGCGCCAATGCCAAAAACGCACCGAATTATTTTCCATTTTTAACGTTGCCTTAACAGGAAAATAATATATACGTCCGATTATGTATGTACTTTTTAATTTTAAGGCAGCGTTATTGACGAATGTGTCAATAACGCGGCAGCGCCAAACAATTAGTTGAACGAATCATTTTTGCTAATGCGGAAATCGTTTAGTTCGTCTCCGCGTTAGCGAAGGCGAAAGTCGGGAGAGACGCCAGGAATTGTCACGGCGCGATAGGGGAGCCACTCGCAACTTGGGGACAGGAACGTGGCAGGGAAGCGTTGTGGGCATCATCGAGAACAGGAGGCGGCTACGATTGGGTGGGTGGGACGTGTGTCCCAAGGTTCTCGTTTTAATGAGGCGTCTGGTTTCACAGACACCCGTTTGGTGACGCGGGGGTCAGGTGACGCGGGGGTCAGGTGACGCGGGGGTCAGGTGACACGGGGGTCAGGTGACGCGGGGGTCAGGTGACGCGGGGGTCAGGTGACGCGGGGGTCAGGTGACGCGGGGGTCAGGTGACGCCGGGGTCAGGTGACGCCGGGGTCAGGTGACGCCGGGGTCAGGTGACGCGGGGGTCAGGTGACGCCGGGGTCAGGTGACGCCGGGGTCAGGTGACGCCGGGGTCAGGTGACGCCGGGGTCAGGTGACGCGGGGTCAGGTGACGCTCGACGCCACGCGGGGGCACCGCGCACGAAGGCCACGGCAGGGAAGGGCGCGAGGAGAGAACGGGGAGAGACTTCGGCCTCAGTGGGGGGGCCAACGCTCGCCCAACCACAGCCCGCCGTGTAGCCAGTCGACTAAACAGCCAGCGAACTCGTCAGCTATCCAGTGAACCAGCCAGTTAACTCTCCAGCTCTCCATCCCCCCCCCACACACAGCCATCTCCAACTCGCCACGCAGCCACCAACCCGCCGCGGACGACGCTCGCCAAGGTAACTATCGAGCCGACAAGGCGGCGCGTTGGTGCACCCCTCCGCGGGCGACGCCGTCGCCGCCGTCGTCACCGACGCGTCGGCACGGCGACGACGGCGGCGGCGCGGGGTCGGCGTCGCCCTCGACGGCGCCGTCCCGTCTGGCCGCGGCGACCGCGACGGCGGCGTCGTCGTCGTCGCGGCAGTCTACGACGGAGAGCGCGATGCACATCTGCGCCAGGTAGTAGGTGCTCATGACGAAGGCGGGCGCCGCCGCCAGCCGCGTGCAGAACTTGTCGATGGCCAGCGCCAGGTCGGAGGCCACGAACAGCGCCGCCCCCACGCACGCGCACATCTGGTTCCACGTCCAGGGGCGGCCCACGCGGGCCGCGGCGCGCCACATCATGCCGATGATGAGGGAGAAGTAGGCGGCCAGCAGCGCCGGCATGGGCCCCGACGGCAGGCAGGGGAACATGAGGCCGTAGATGGCCGCCCCGCTCGCGCCCAGCACCAGGCCCAAGCGAGAGCGGAGCGGCTGGAAGCCGAACGCCGCCAGGTAGAAGGCGTGCGCCGTGCCGAACATCAGCATGCCTGGGGGGGGGCGGGGGGGGGGGGGAGCGGGAAGACAAAAGGGGAGCGGGGGTTAACCACAACGCAGTTGCCGGGTACGGGGCCCAAAGGTGGGAAACATCAAGGAGGCCAGAAACAAACGGAGGAGGTCTGTTGGTGTCCGTGCGAGTCACTGGCGACTGGGCTGAGACCATCAACTCGGTTCAGTCGTATCTCTACGGGTCTCCGTGCGAGTCTGCGTGTCTCCGTGCGAGTCTGCGTGTCTCCGTGCGAGTCTGCGTGTCTCCGTGCGAGTCTGCGTGTCTCCGTGCGAGTCTGCGTGTCTCCGTGCGAGTCTGCGTGTCTCCGTGCGAGTCTGCGTGTCTCCGTGCGAGTCTGCGTGTCTCCGTGCGAGTCTGCGTGTCTCCGTGCGAGTCTGCGTGTCTCCGTGCGAGTCTGCGTGTCTCCGTGCGAGTCTGCGTGTCTCCGTGCGAGTCTGCGTGTCTCCGTGCGAGTCTGCGGGTCTCCGTGCGAGTCTGCGGGTCTCCGTGCGAGTCTGCGGGTCTCCGTGCGAGTCTGCGGGTCTCCGTGCGAGTCTGCGGGTCTCCGTGCGAGTCTGCGGGTCTCCGTGCGAGTCTGCGGGTCTCCGTGCGAGTCTGCGGGTCTCCGTGCGAGTCTGCGGGTCTCCGTGCGAGTCTGCGGGTCTCCGTGCGAGTCTGCGGGTCTCCGTGCGAGTCTGCGGGTCTCCGTGCGAGTCTGCGGGTCTCCGTGCGAGTCTGCGGGTCTCCGTGCGAGTCTGCGGGTCTCCGTGCGAGTCTGCGGGTCTCCGTGCGAGTCTGCGGGTCTCCGTGCGAGTCTGCGGGTCTCCGTGCGAGTCTGCGGGTCTCCGTGCGAGTCTGCGGGTCTCCGTGCGAGTCTGCGGGTCTCCGTGCGAGTCTGCGGGTCTCCGTGCGAGTCTGCGGGTCTCCGTGCGAGTCTGCGGGTCTCCGTGCGAGTCTGCGGGTCTCCGTGCGAGTCTGCGGGTCTCCGTGCGAGTCTGCGGGTCTCCGTGCGAGTCTGCGGGTCTCCGTGCGAGTCTGCGGGTCTCCGTGCGAGTCTGCGGGTCTCCGTGCGAGTCTCTGGCAGCGGCTAAGACACGGAGTGGAGCCCAGGCTCTCGGCTGTTCCGGCTCAGCGCGTCTCTGACCTCAGAGCCACGCGGCCTCCCAGTGGCCAAGATCGCTAACCGTTCCTCGTGTGTCCGGGGGCTTTCGTTTTGTATTTCCGTAGACATTCACACGCGCGTGTTGGATCCGTGTCCACCAATCGGTTGCGTTGGCAGTTTTTTTGTTGCTTGCTTTTGCATCGTTTAACTTGCGTCGAGCCAAAAGTATCAATATTTCACGTGTGTACGAGGGACACTTTTTACTTATTCATAATCAACGTTTTTGGGTTTAGATCGCGTTATTTATAAATGTATCGTAACCTTCCACCACCCGACACGGCCAATCAGTAAAAAGGTGTCCGGTTGACAAAAGACAAAATAGTTCACTGCTTTAGCCCACCGGTGCGTTGAAGCGCGAAACCACAACATTTACAATTTGATTACGACGTTTCGCTGGTAATTGCATCCAGCATCATCGGGCAATTCGCCACAATGGTGAGGCTCTGCTCTGTCCCCGGTCTTATATAGAGCAGCAGCAGGGTGACGTCATCATTAACTCATCAACTCATTTGTAAATGTTGTGGTTTCACGCTTCAACACACCGGTGGGCTAAAGCAGTGAACTATTTTGTCTTTTGTCAACGTGACACTTTTTTTTACTGATTGGCCGTGTCGGGTGGTGGAGGGTTACGACACATTTATAATTAACGCGATCTAAACCCAAAAACGTTGATTATGAATATTGGTCGCGAAAGCCCTACATGTTAAACTGACCCTTTACTTACCCAATTGAGTTTCACCTGTGCCGAGTCAGTAACAGCCGAATTACGCGCGGGCGGCCTGTAGCCCCGGTCTAACAGAGAGGGTCTTGGCATGTAGACATCTGGCAGCTCACCAGCATTGATTCAAGCGAGCCTGACTCCGCAGCTGATGAGACACCGCATGTCGAAACTGGTCCTTGCCGAATGTAAAAATAATAAAAAATAAGCGCCTTATTTTTTCACGTGGACGTGGGAGAGGTGCACCGTCTTCTTATTTATTGAGTTACATAAAGTGGTTTTAAACTTTACGCGCTGTGCAAATGCTGCGACTGTGTACACACGGGGCGGCGATCCACAGCAAGGTTGTTGCTCGTAAAATATGGAACGGCAAAATATGGAACGACGCTCGAGGAAAACTGTTGATTTAGTGTCAGCCTGACATCCATAAAGTTGCAAAATTTACGCTGGCAGTGAATGTTTTAACCTTCGGCTCATTTATAATGCGCCCTTGAATGAATACAAGAACACACGAGGACGGTGTCTATTTATAAATATACACACACACAGGTAAATATACACACACACACATTAATGACGAGCTCTCTTCTCACCCCCTTTCTCATGCTTTCACTCTCACGCCCTCACCCGTTCACCCTGCCAGTCTCACCCCCTCACTCACTTACTCACCCCCTCTCCCATTCACTCACTCACTCACTCACCCACTCTCCCCCTCACTCACCCACTCACCCCCTCACTCACCCACTCACCCCCTCTCCCGCGCACTCACTCACTCACTCACCCCCTCTCCCACTCACTCACTCACCCACCCACTCACTCACTCACCCACCCCCTCCTCTCCCACTCACTCACTCACTCACCCCCTCCTCTGCCACTCACTCACCCCCTCTCCCACTCACTCACCCCCTCTCCCGCTCACCCACTCACTCACTCACTCACTCACCCACCCACCCACCCACTCACCCACCCACTCACCCACTCACCCACCCACTCACCCACCCCCTCCTCTCCCACTCACTAACTCACTCACCCCCTCTCCCGCTCACTTACTCACCCTCTCTTCCACTCACTCACCCCCTCTCCCGCTCACCCCCTCTCCCGCTCACCCACTCACCCACTCACCCACTCACCCACTCACCCACTCACCCACTCACCCACTCACCCACTCACCCACTCACCCACCCCCTCTCCCACTCACCCACTCACTCACTCACTCACCCCCTCTCCTGCTCACCCACTCACCTCAACTCCTCTCCCACTCACTCACTCCCTCTCCCACCCACTCACCCACCCCCTCCTCTCCCACTCTCCCACCCACTCCCCGCACCTACCCCCTAACCCACCCGCCCCCCGCCACTCACCCGGCTCGAAGTAGCCGTAGGCCTCCCACACGAGGCAGGCGTCCCCCAGCGCCGAGAAGACGAGGCCGGCGAGGATGCGCCGTGCGTACGCGTGCACCGGCGCCCGCAGGCTCATGCCGTGCGCCGCTACGAAGGCGCACAGGCACAGGATGGGCAGGCACTTGATGAGTGTGCTGAACCACGAGGCGCTGCTAGCGGGCAACCACAGCACGAAGTAGATGCACGTCGTCTTGAAGAAGGGCACCAGCTTGGGCCCGCAGCTCTTCACCTGCGTCCACCGCCACACGCACGGCGCGCTCCGGTCAACGTCCCGACACCCGCCCCACGCGCTCGCTCGCTCGCTCGCTGCCAGAGGTCGCAAACGGGTTTTGATTCCTTACCCGTACCCGGCCGCACCAGGGTCGCAAACGGGTACCCGTTCCCTACCCGTACCCGTACCCTACCCGAAATGAGTGACAAACGGTTATTCACCAGTGACTCACGGCCTACCCGTACCCGTATCTGGCCGCACCAGGGTCGCAACCGGGTACCCGATACCCGTACCCTGCCCGATGCCCGGCTACCCGTACCCGGCTGGGTATGGGTAGACGGGTATCGGGTAGGGCCGGGTACGGGTAGCCGGGTATCGGGCAGGGTACGGGTATCGGGTACCCGGTTGCGACCTCTGCTTGCCGCCCGTGTTGCCCACGTGCTGGGCATCCCAACATCCCCCTAACCCCCCGGGTCCACTCAGCCTTAAACGAGTACCTGCCTGTGCGCACAGCGATTTGGTACGTGTGTGCGCGCGCGTAGTGCGGCTGGTGTTTGTGTCTGTGCGAGGAGCGGTGGCACAGCGGTTAGCGCGCTGCGCTACGAACCCGGCGACCAGAGTTCGATTCCCGCTCATGGCCAACATACCGGTGACGATTATCTGTACCGGTCCTGGGCCTCACCCACGTTGCCTAGAATGAGCACCTCGTGTGGTGCATAAAAACATTAGCACTGGCCCCCTTGGTGGCGATGTTGACACGTCGCACCAGCTACTTATTTGCGGCCGAGTCTACCTAGGAGCGGCCCAGAACCGGTTCAGATAATTGGTGTTAACCGTCGGTGAGAATCGAACTCGTGTCACCGGGTTCGAAGCGCTGCGCTTTAACCGCTCCCCGTGATAAACACACACACACAAAAACCGACTGTACGTACACACCCGCACAAAATCGCTGTGCACGCAAGCGGAATTGAGTTTCCGAGCGCAAAATCACGTGCCAGTTGGCCTTGGTCCAACGATGCATTCAGGGTCAGCAGTCAAGCTTGCATCGATCGCCACACAGATGACCGTCAACACATGCTACGTGGGTGGGAGTGAGCGAGTGTTTACGGAATTAATCAGAAAATTCAACATCCCAGAGGAGGCCCGGCGGCTCACAGGTCAGGGTCTCAGCCGACCAGCCACAGCGATTGAACTCGGCTTCTCAATTGCGTGGAGCAGATGGTATTGGTCCAATCGCTAAACGACCGCGCAAAGCAAATATTGCTTGTAATTCGATTCTCTACTTAATTTTGATGAATTCCAGCCGACGATTAACGGTGTTGGTTTGACTGCGATGTGACGAACGTCACTCTCGTACGGCAGGGTGGGTGGGAAAGTACTGCGTGTACCTGAGGTCACTTGAAGGGACCTCAAGAGATAATTCCATGCACCCCTTCATGAAGGCACAGAGGGGATCACGAGCGTATAATTGCACGCCATTGGAATACGTCAAGACGCGCCGATTATAACGCGTGTCGTCGTGCAATCGATTCACTGTTCGACGGCCTCCTACAGCCAGCAGGACCTCACTACCGCGTCCCAAGGCCCTCCCCCCTCAGGTGGGTCCTGCTTCAATCGGAAACATTGGCCAATTACACTTGACGAGAATGTCCACAGGTCACACCGTACGGGTTCAATATAAGAAAGCCCCAGGTGACTTCCGGCTGCTCGAATCAACGTCGAAGCCCATTGGTGCTCATCTCCTGTTTACAGCATCGGTGGCAGAGGTCGCAAACGCGTTTTGATTCCTTACCCATACCCGTACCCGGCCGCACCAGGGTCGCAAACGGGTACCCCACCCGTACCCAGCCGGGTACGGGTAGGGTACGGGTATCGGGTACCCGATTGCGACCTCTGGTATGAAGCCATGTTGCAGGCGCGGGTGGGTTGATTCTAGGAACTTGAATTGTGAGAAGAGACAAGACGTTGGGAAATGAGTGACAAACAGTTACTCACCAGTGACTCACGGCCTATCCGTACCCGTACCCGGCCGCACCAGGGTCGCAAACGGCTACCCGTACCCGGCTGGGTACGAGTAGCCGGGTATCGGGTAGGGTACGGGTATCGGGTACCCGGTTGCGACCTCTGATCGGTGGTGGGAAATGCCACGCTGCTTTTTGCGGGGGCCGAGTCGACCAATTCACCTTCAACTTCCCCGCAGAGAGGCATTCGATGGGCCGAGTCAACTGGCCACCCCCCTCCCCCGAAGAGGATTTGAACTCATACTCTTAACTCTTTTGGTAAAGTCACGTAGGTAAAAAATTTAATTAAAATTAATAAAAATAAAACAATAAAATCACGACGTTTCGGAGTCAACACAAGTCTCCGTCATCAGGTGGGACCGTCAGACTTGTGTCGACTCCGAAACGTCGTGATTTTATTGTTTTATTTGTATTCATTTTAATTTCATTTTTTTACCTACGTGACTTTACCGAAAGAACTAAGAGTATGAATCCTTGCAGTCACGAAAGCTTCAAATCTAGGATTTGAACTCACGACCTTCCGATTAGCAGCCGCTCGCTCTTGTGCCGAGCCGCTTGCTCGCTCCCTTCCTCTCTCGCTCTCTACTCAGGCCATCGCACAAACTCAACATCAACAGGAAGAGTGGGCCCGCGGTTAAAATCCTCACTGGAATCATCCACTACGCTGCCAGTAAGCGGGGAGGGGGGGGGCCGCGGTCGTGCCGCTCTGTCAAGCGCGTTGCCCGGCGCGATGTCTACCACGTGCCGCTGGGAGCTTCCCGAACCGAAGACGGCCACAAGTATTCTCCCTTCTCCCCGAAGAGGGCGGAAACGCCGGACGTGGCGCCGAGCGATGCCAAGTTCAAGCCCCGCGAAAGTACGCCAGAGAGGCCTGGCTCTAGCACACCCAGCAGGAAGAGGGACAAAGCGAACTGTGGGGTCAACCATGCGGGATGGCGCCGGCCGGCACTATTGCGGAACATCTCACGTCAAAGCGGTACAACCCTGAAAATGCACCGGGGACCAGCAGTCGACACCACAACCCCCGCCACCCCCCCCCCACCCCCACACGAAGTGCCGAGATGGTACGGCCCCATGTGTAGAGTCAGCTGTTCCGTGGGGGTTTTGGTATTCTGCGTAAACACATCCTGCAGGGAAACTAGTTCCTAAAAATAGTCAGCGCTGCAAGGTGGTGGTGGTGGTGGTGGCGGCGCTGGTCTGGTTAGTTCCGTCCTGCCGCGTGACCACGCAAGCGCTCCCATCTTCTCTTCGTTGTCTGTGCCGGACGATGACGGTGGTGGTGGCGGCGGCGGCAATGGACTAGCGTTGACTCGCCACGATACCCGCGCTAGTGGGACACGTCGGAAAAAGATTAAAGGGATCACTCGGGGCAGACGTGAACGGCAAAAAGCAGTCGAAACTAGCGAGGACGACTGGGTCCTTGCCTATAAACATCTGGCAGTGCACTGGCATTGGTTCAAGCAAGCCTGGGTCTGCCTTGCCCAAGCTTATTACATTTGATGAAGTGCAAATTGTACGTTCATGCCGTATTTTTTTTATTGACCTTGCTCCTACTGGACATCTTGGATCCAAGAGCTTTACAAACTTCATCATATTCCTCCAGGATAAATACATATTCCCATTCTGATGAGACACTGCATCTTCTTGGTTCTAAAATAAATAAAATAATAAAGCATTACTTATTATGTTACATTTGTATTATTTTATTATTTCCCTTCTACGTGACTTTACCGAAAGAACCAAGAAGATGAATCCCTGCAGTCACGAAAGCTTTCAATCGAGAGACACTGCATGTCAAAACCGGTCCAGAGCCGTGCATGCAAACTGGCAGGCGAGTAAATCCTGTATTTTAAATCTCTGGAGGAGTTCTCACTTGTAAAGGAGACGACGACAACGACGATGACGGAGAAAAAAACATCCAGGGAAGAGTCCCTGGACTCTCCTTCTGAAAGATCTTTCATCGGGATGCTTTTGGCCAATCCCCATGAAATGCTAAAAGCGTTTGGCGTGTGCGGCGAAAGTGGAGAGCACAGAGAGCGGCCCAGGCAAGCGAGAGGCGCAAGAGATACGTTCTCACTCACGGGAGGGGGATTACATTACGTCAATACCACCGCGATTACGATGACCTCTGCGAGTCCCGTTACAACTGTTGTTGTGACACTGCATTGACGGCGGCGGCGGCGGCGCAGAAACAACAAACACACAGCTGGGATGCAACGTTCGCCAAAATTAGAACTGCCTGGCCCTGAAAAAGATGTTTGGTTTTTTTTAAACACACGTGCATAACACAATAATAGGCCGACGATTCTGCTTTCTCATACTCATCACGAGTTTTCAAGACTCTCTTTCGGGATGGCCACACGGGGAAACGTTTGGCCACTTGAGGACAACCGACGGGAGAGTTCTCGGTCCCTTGGAGGAGACCGCATCGCGCGGGAGAAAAACCCCACGACGCGCCACGAATACAAATGGGAACGCCACCTGGCTTAGCCAAAGACGGAGGGACAACTGGGATTCAAAAGGCTGCGGTGGTTTCTCATGTAAAAACAAGATTAAGGCGTATTAATTCTAGATTTGAAGCTTTCGTGACTGCAAGGATTCATATTCTTGGGTTTTTTCGGTAAAGTCACGTAGGTAAAAAATTCAAATAAAAATTAATAAAAGTAAAATAAAATAAAAATCCGAAACGTCGTGATTTTTTTATTTTATTTAACTTTTATTAATTTTAATTTTTTACCTACATGACTTTACCAGAAAAAACCCAAGAACATGAATAAGATTAAGGCGGCCTTCAGTTTTTTTTCTCCCGAGAGCAGCGCGACGAGCGGGTTTCCCCGGTGACCATTCCACGTTGCTGTGGCTGCTGACGAAAGCCCAGGACGGCGGATTGGTAGAGCCATCCGCTGGCTACGCAGCTGAGCGGCGGACTGCGCCGTGAAACCCGGCGGGCCGAGTTCGACTCCCGGCCCCTCGTCGTGACTATCATTTGTGGCCAGGTCGCTTCTGAAAAATAAGTTAAACACGACGGCGGGCTTCACCCGCTAAGATACAACAATTATTCTTCATCTTCTTGGTTCTTTCGGTAAAGTCACGTAGAATGGAAATAACAAAATAATTATAATAAAACATAATTATTATGTTTTATTTTTATTCTTTTGGTTCTTTCGGTAAAGTCACGTAGAATGGAAATAATAAAATAATGAAAATAATAAAACATAATTATTGTTTTATTTTTATTCTTTTATTATTTCCATTCTACGTGACTTTACCGAAAGAACCAAGAAGATGAATCCCTGCAGTCACGAAAGCTTTAAATCGAAAATTATTCTTCAGTTTTATTCGTGTATATATTTAAGCGATTATTTGTTTTACCTTTCCTGTAATTCGCACTGGTATCGTGTTGTGTTGTTATTGCTTGTTGTTGTAACGTTCTTACCCCGTGCCTCGACTGGCCACATCCGTGAAAAAAACAAATCTTAGCTCATCGGATTCCTCCGGTACAAATAAATATTCTGATTCTCAGCTGCTTCCTTGTGGTGGCCGTGTACACACGGGGCAAGCGGTGCGGGTCACATCCTGTCCCCCCACCCCGCTCGTCTCTCGGTACGGGAGATAGCAGCAGCAGCGCTGGGCGGCTGTGAGCCAAGAGGAGGGCTTTTGAGGACAAAACACTTCACACTTTGTCCTCAAAAACTGGGCCAATTTTGCTGGGCGATCGACACACAAACACCGCATTGGCATGCAACGTTGAGCTCTCGCCCACATGCGTGCACACAAAGATCCCCCCGTGTAGCCTTCACAGACTGTTGGGGCAAGTGCTGTTAGCGAGCACCTGTGAAGGCCGACACGGCACACGAGGGGGTGGGTGGCCAGCACCACGCCCGGCCGCCTTTGTCTCCCTAGTGGCGGCACCAGGTACTCATATTTTTTGTTTCTGTAACGTTCTTACCGACCCAGATCCTGACCATACTTCACCACGTTGGGCAGTGCGCGGTCGTGAAGAATTGGGGGAGTTCCCAGGACCGGTTAGTTCGAATATCATTCGCAAGTGACGTTAGCCATGGCTGGGATTTCAACTCGGGGTCACCAGGCTCAAAGCACAGCGTGGTAACCCACCGGGACCACCGATCCACTCCCTCAACGGGCATCGTGATTTCTGTAGCTGTAGTATTATACCGGTGAAAATGCATGAGCTGAAGGGACAGCTGCCCGCAAGCGTCACGGTTATCACACTGGACTTGCCGTCTAAAGGTCGCCGGTTCGATCCCACCCCTTGGCAGTTGTTTAATCCGAAATCTCCCAGCGGCACGTTCACACTGATCGGCAGGGCATCACGTGTGCGATGGGGGGGGGGGGGGGTGGTAACGTAGGTGGCTGACTCCCGCATTCCTCCAAGACGCCTGGGCCAAGCGTGGGAGGGTTGCACCGATTGTACACCCTCGAGAACAGTGAGTTCTTGACCTGGGGTTGCACGCGCACGCCCTGGTGGTGCGAAATGCCCTTTGTGAGAACCGCAGCGGCGCAAGGCTGCGGCAAAGGCTAAGAACCACTGCTCTTCGAGTCTTAGGGGACACTCTGGGGTTCTATCGAGTGGTGGAGGGCCCCTCTGGCAGCAGTGGTGCGTGGAGGCAATTGCAGGAGCTGCGCCTTTGCCTTTGAACGGTAAGAGTCTGGGAGGGGAGGGCGTTTGTCGGCGAGAGAATTGTGAACTGGGGCGGGTTGGATAGAAACTGGGAAGGGGGAAAGCCTCAAGTTCTGGACGTGGAACGAGGAGATGGAGCCAATGATCCGATTGAAAGCCCGATACTGGGGCAGCAGGACAGGAGCGGCAGCATCAATACCTGTCAACCACTTATCCCTTATTACAGATCAATTCTGATCTTATTGGTAACCATTAAAAATCTCAACGTTCATCCTACAAAGTGGCATCGCAAGGCAGAAACTCAAAACGAAATGTGTGCCCGTATTGAAACAGTTGTACGCACTCGGGGGGGGGGGGGCGGGGGGGGGGTTGGCACGTGCCCCCCCCCCCCCCTCAATGATCCGATCGAAATCCCTAATTTCGATCGGATCATTGGGGTTTATTAGTAATAAATCGGCATTTTGCGACCCCCACTGCCACTGTGCAGCATATTATTCCGTGCCAGGGACTCTATGAGATGATAGGACAATAGTCTGACTCCATAATTGGCGATAAGTAGCGGCAAAGCGGTTATAAGTGACTCACATAATTGTGCGCAGTTGTGTGTATACAGAGTTCACGACTTCCCTGAAGGCATCGACAGCTTCAGCGAGCGCGATGCCGATCACACAACGCGGTTCGAATTCTACCCTCGATCGATGTCTGCGCCATCGCTTAGGGGCCGTCCATAAATGACGTCACGCGATTTTGGATGAATTTTTTACCCCCCCCCCCCTCGTCACACGGCGTCACAAAAAGTCGGACCCCCCCCCCCTCCCTTAAATATGACGTCACAAAGCTCTGTGCCCCCCACCCCCCAAAAGATATTTCCATCTTGAAAATAAAACATGCTTCAAATCGTTTTAAACTATTGTCATTGTAGCGCGTGTTTAATGTGGCGCTGCACTCTGATGTTGTAGGAGTGTTCGTTTTAACAATTAGTGTTGTTAAAACAATTAGTGTTGTTATAACAATTCTATATTTATTTAAAGTTGCGCATTTTGATGTGACGTCACATTTCTCAAACATGCCCCCACCCCTCGTCACACATCGCCACAAATGCTCTGACCCCCCCCCCCCCTAGCTGCGTGACGTCATTTATGGACGGCCCCTTACATTTCTCATTGCTGGAGGGTTTGCCCCCCACCCCCACTACCTGAACACCTTGGCTCCACCATCGCCGCCGTACGGACCTGAAAACTCAATGACCTGAACAAGAATACGGGGGGGGGGGATGGGGGTTGATCACGACATTAATAAGCGATGTCTCCATCACATGTGCGTCTCGGCATGGAACAGAGGTCGCAATCGGGTACCCGATACCCTACCCGATACCCGGCGACCCGTACCCGGCCGGGTACCCATTTGCGACCCTGGTGCGGCCGGGTACGGGTAAGGAATCAAAACCCGTTTGCGACCTCTGGGCATGAAAACAACAACAACTACAACCACCCCCCACCACCACCACAGGTTCTTACACAACTCCAGCCGGACAATGATACCAATCATAACACTAACAATAATAACAACAACAATAACAACAATAACAACAATTCTAGATTTGAAGTTTCCCTGACTGCAAGGATTCACACTCTTAGGTTCTTTCGGTAAAGTCACGTAGGTGAAAAATAATAATATTAAATAATAATAAATGAAAACAACTAAATTAAATCACGACGTTTCGGAAGCAACACAAGCCGCCGTCATCAGGTGAAGAGAGCGATTCAAGACACGTGTTTTTTTATATAAATTAAATTACTGGAGCAGTTACACTTGATGACGGAGGCTTGTGTTGCTTCCGAAACGTCGTGAGTTAATTTAGTTATTTTCATTTAGTAATATTTTTATTTATTTATTTTTTACTTACGTGACTTTACCGAAATAACTGCATCAGCTGTGCGACTCGAAACGAATCGGTCAGCGAATTCCTCGAGATACTCATCCAGAAGCGGTCATGGATCACGGTATTTGGGACTTTAAAAGTACAACAACACACACTGTTAGGTTTTTTCGGTAAAGTCACGTAGGTAAAAATAAATAATACAAACAATAGAAATAATAATAGAAATAATATTAAAATCTACAATTACAACACCACAGCAACACGGACTGTACCATACAGTAACATGAACATACGTGCAGCACAAAGGCAAAGATCCCCCGTGTAGCCTCAACAGACTGTAGGGGCAAGTGTTGTTAGCGAGCACCTATTAAGACCGTGACACGGCACACGAGTGGGGGGTGGGTGGCCAGCACCACGCCCGACCGCCTTTGTCTCCCCCCAAGTGGCGATGTTTACACACCGCACCACGTACTAATTTGAGGCCGAGTCGACCTAGGGGGGAGGTCCCGAGACCGAGTGCGTGATAATCGTCACCCGTGGGTGTTTGTTGACAGCGATCGGAGGTAATCGGGTTCGTAGCGCGCTAACCGCTGCACCACCGCTCCCCTCCCCATCTCCCACCACACACACACGCACGCTAACAAGGCGGCCTCGAACGAACAACGCGAATCTTACTTACCACGGTCACGGGGGAGACCATCGCTGCCTCTCGCCCTTGGGGGGGCCTCTCGCACACACTCCGACAATTGTTCACAACAACAAAATGTGCTCGCCCGCCTCTCTTTGTTGCGTTGTCGAACCCCCCCCCCCCCACCGCACCGATCCGTCAACACGGCCTCGTGTTCGTAATCACCGTCGTTATTACTGCGACTGCTGCGACGACATTAAACGGCGTGTAAACAACAACAGCAGCGGCAGCGGCTAATATGATGATGATGATGAAGCCGAGTTAGCCCCAAGTGTCCTACGACGACCTGTTGTTTCAGAAGCCTACGGGGAGCGATGCGGATCCTAAGAAACGCAGGCGGCGCGATCAGCTGATCTGGGCCTCTTCGCGCGCGCTTCGTTATTTACCTCGGAGGAGCAAGCCCCGCCCCCCCGACCGCTTGCCCCGCCCCCCCCACCGCTTGCCCCGCCCCCCACCGCTTGCCCCGCCCCCCCACCGCTTGCCCCGCCCCCCACCGCTTGCCCCGCCCCCCCACCGCTTGCCCCGCCCCCCGACCGCTTGCCCCGCCCCCCCCCACCGCTTGCCCCGCCCCCCACCGCTTGCCCCGCCCCCCCACCGCTTGCCCCGCCCACTCACCTCTTGCCCCGCCCCCACCGCTTGCCCCGCCCCCCACCGCCTGCCCCGCCCCCTGCTTGCCCCGCCCACTCACCGATTGCCCCGCCCCCCCCCCACCGCTTGCCCCGCCCCCCACCGCCTGCCCCGCCCCCTGCTTGCCCCGCCCACTCACCGATTGCCCCGCCCCCCACCGCTTGCCCCGCCCACTCACCTCTTGCCCCCCCACCTCTTGCCCCCCCCCCACCCCTTGCCCCCCCCACCCCTTGCCCCACCTACATGACCCGCCTCCCCCCGTAATAGCAACGCCCACCCGCACTTAAGCTCCTCCTCCCGTTCCCCGCTTACTGCTGCCCTCAAATAGACACGCCCCCTACCCCACAATAGACACGCCTCCTACTCCATAATGACCACGCCCCCTATCCCATAATGACCACGCCCCCTATCCCGCATTAGACACGCCCCCCGGCCCCATTCTCGACTTGAGACCCCCATCGAACCCACCCCCCACCTCACTCTCAGGAAGCCTCAGGGCCCCCTCGCAAATAGCCACTCCCCCTCCATCGATTTAGGCTCCGCCCATTTGCGACTGGAGCTCCTCCCTCAGAAAACCACGCCCCTTCTCAAATTTAAGGTCCGCCCATCTCCTCGCGTCTGCGGCGATAGACAATATTTTTAGGTTTATTTTTATTTTATTTTACTTTTATTAATTTTTATTTTTTACCTACGTGAATTTACCGAAAAAAACCTAAAAATATGAATACTTGCAGTCACGAAAGCTTCAAATCTAGAGCCGATAGACAATAACGACCAGGCCTCAAGACTGCTTTCTTTAAAGACCCACTGTATTGTTAACGTGTTGAATGTGTGTGTGCGTACAAACGCTTTTGTTACGTGATTACGTACTTTTTTAGTTTGTCTCTTTAAGGCAATAATCAAGTTCATGTATTAGGTATAGCCCTGTGAGCCATTCGGCTCTTGAATCGGGTGCAACCGCAACAAACAAAAAACAAAAACATGAACAAGAAAACATCTTAAAGTGAATATGTGACTAAGTGCACACAGAAAATCCAAGAAAAGACAGCAAAACATTGCAGAAAAAAACAGCACCGTACACCAACGCTGTGTGCAAAAATCCCAGTGGGATGCAAGTCAAACAACAACAACAACCACAAGACAACTTAGATTAAGGACATCAGTCTAACTCTGTACTACAACAAGCAAACATAAGTGTTCATTGACGAATATATTGGGATTATCGTTGGTGTCTGTGTTCATAATCAACGTTTTTGGGTTTAGATCGCGTTTATTTATAAATGTGTCGTAACCCTCCACCACCCGACACGGCCAATCAGTAAAAATGTGTCACGTTGACAAAGACAAATAGTTCACTGCTTTAGCCCCCACACCGGTGTGTTGAAGCCACAACATTTACAATTTGAGTAGCACGACGTTTCGCTGGTAATTGCAACCAGCATCATCGGGCAATTCGCCAGAATGTGTTATTTATATTGCCCAACGCGGCACCAAATCATCAACAACCTAATTAGCTTGTTTTTATTCCAGCCAATGGGAAGCGCGCACCGTCGTTCGCTCCTGTTACGTCACGCGTTGTTGTTGTCGAAGCCGCGTGTGGGCGGGGCGATGGGGGCGAGGGGCGTGGCCAGTTGGAGGAGGGAGGAGCCTGTGGGGGGGGCGAGGGGCGTGGCCAGTTGGTTGTGGGGGGGGGGGAGCCTGTGGGGGGGGGGAGCCTGTGGGGGGGGCGAGGGGCGTGGCCAGTTGGAGGGGGGGGAGGAGCCTGTGGGGGGGGGAGCCTGTGGGGGGGGGGGGAGATGCTCTGCCCAGCAACGGGTGACGTCACCACCCGGGGGCTCGCGCCGCACGTGACACGCGCCTGTTGTTGTGGCGGCTCGTCACGTGAGCGACCGTCCGTTGTCTGGTCACGTGGCGCGATGACGTAATAGCCCCGGCTGAGAGGTGAGCTCACGAACAAAGGGCAGAGCTGTCACGTGCTGCGAAGAGCACGTGGGCTGGTAACGATGATACAATGGCACGTAGAATGGAAATAATACAATAATAAAAAACACCCCATCCGAAATTTCGATTTAAAGCTTTCGTGACTGCAGGGATTCATCTTCTTGGTTCTTTCGGTAAAGTCACGTAGAATGGAAATAATAAAATAATAAAAATAAAACATAATAAAATAATTCTCACGACGTTTCGGCCACAACGCAAAGCAGCCGTCCTCAGGTGGAGAACAGGCCTGTCCAAATTTAACGGGCAGAGCGTCACGTGCTGCGAAGAGCACGTGGGCTCGTAACGATGATAACAATGGCACCGGTATTGTTCGTAGGCGTCTGTTGTGTTACGTTGTGTGCTCATGTTGTGTTAAATAAACAACACAGAACGTGAATTGTTGACGATGGCCAGGTACCGTCAGCAGTGGATGAGCGAAACGGACTGTAAAATAATGTGAACGTTTGACGTTCACTTTTTAAATGTTTGCATCGTTTTAATAATCCCACTTGCAACTCATCACAGAAACCGTTTGCAAGCGAAACAGACTCCTCTGGTTTAAATGAAGTTAATCTTATTACTGTACTGGGAAAATGTGTGTCCACACGTGTGGCCACATGTGCCACTGGGGAGACAAAGGCGGCCGGGCGTGGTGTTGGCCACCCACCCCCTCGTGTGACGTGGCCGGCCTTCATAGGTGCTCGCTAACAGCACTTGCCCCAGCAGTCTGTTAAGGCTATACGGAGGGATCTTTACCCTTGTCCACACATAGGGGCCGTCCATAAATGACGTCACGCACCTAGGGGGGGGGGGGCAAACATTTGTGACGATGTGTAACGAGGAGGGGGGGTGAGAAATGTGACGTCACATCAAAATACGCAACTTTAAAAAATACAGACAACACGTTCTACTTAATTAAATAGACTTTTTAATAAATGTTTTCTCCTACAACATCAGAGTACAGCGGCTCATTAAATACGCACTACAATAACAATAGTTTAAAGCGATTTGAAGCATGTTTTATTTTGGGGGGGCAGAGCTTTGTGACGTCATGTTTGAGGGGGGGGTCTGACTTTTTGTGACGCCGTGTGACGAGAGGGGGGGGGGGTCAAAAATCGTCCAAAATCGCGTGACGTCATTTATGGACGGCCCCTAACAGCAGCAGCACAATGATGATGATGATGGCGGGTTCTTTCCCCATCTGCGTATTGTCAGGGGCGCCAATGAAGAACATCGCAACAGAGCAAAAAAAAAATAAACCCGCAAATGTAACAAAAAAAATGACACAACATAACAGCCTCAAAAACATCTCGTGCAACGCATTACGGCGAATTGACACTTGACAAGAGTTGTAGCACCAGTTTAGCGAGCTCGGCTTCACTATACGGTCCACGGCTCGGGCATCTCTTCCTTACTGTACGTCATCGTAAAACAAATAAAACTTTGAAGAGCGGTCCATTTAGGGGGGCCTTGAGGTTAGACAATATACCACGTTTCTGGGCCACCCACCCACCCACCAAACACACACTCATTCAGTTTCCTGAAATCCGAGTGTGACGACGAAGAGATGCCTGTGCGCAGTTCGAGATGTTGTTAGAGGAGAGAAATGTAAGAGGGGGAGACTCAGTTGTAGAAAGACGTGAGGAGAGAGAGATGCGGAGCAGATGCAGTAGAGAGAGAGTTCATTGATTAGGTAGAGCCCTGTGAGCCATTCGGCTCTTGAATCGGGTGCAACTGCAACAAACAAAAAACTAAAAATTTCGATTTAAAGCTTTCGTGACTGCAGGGATTCATCTTCTTGGTTCTATCGGTAAAGTCACGTAGAAGAAAACATCTTAAAGTGACTATGTGACTAAGTGCAAACAGAAAATCCAAGAAAAGACAGATAAATATTGCATAAAAAGCACCGTACACCAACGCTGTGTGCAAAAATGCCAGTGGGATGCAAGTCAAACAACAACAACCACAAGACAACTTAGATTAAGGCCATCAGTTTTACTCCGTACTACAACAAACAAACATGGCCAAACCAAAAAACTTTTCGAAATCACCAAAATAAAGCCATGAAAGCAATGAAACAGTGATCATAGAGAGAGAGAGATCACGTGGCTGGCGATGTTTAATTCGCTGGCCACGTCTGCTGGGTTTTGAATTCGTGCTGACGATGATATTTGACGCACATCCACGGCACTGTATTATCCATAATTGAGCGAGAGGGGGGTGGGTTTCTTTGAGATCAGATCGTGTAAATATATAAAATGTGAAACACAGCCAACTAGTAAGGGTTGTAACGTAAACAAAGCCTGTCAATTCGTTACCAGTACAGCCACACCGGTGTGTTGGAGAGTGAGCCCACGACATTAACATTTACAATTCCGAGTGCTGGGTTTACTCTCCAACACACCGGTGTGGCTGTACTCGTAACGATTTTGCATGTTTTGATTACTTTGCGGGCAGGTAGCTTCTAAGAAAAGAGCTACACGGCTCGGCGGGTCTTACCTGGTAACAGGAAATCAGTTTAGTTTGAGTCAATTTATAATCTCCTCCTCGCCGCGAGGGCTGGCTGGCTACGAAAATAACACTGGTCAACAAAAGAAAAACATTTTTTTCTGGCCTGGACTTTTGCAGCTGTTCTCGACTAATTTCAGGGTGCCGATTCCAAATCTGATCTCAGATTTGCTCTATCACATCTCATTTTGATGCTATCGGCATACCCCATTTTCATTGATTTTACCCGAAATTAAC